ATATCAGCTTGGCTTGACAAGAATTAACTGATAAATGCATGAACAAAATGTGGAAGAAGTTATGGCTGAAGGTATCCAAGAATTCTCAACGAGAAGAGCCTATCACTGTATCGTTAGGTTGATCAAACTCAACCTAATCGATATGGCAGGACTACGAGATGTAGATGAGCAGGATATTGAGGAGTTATAGCAGGTTTCTGACGAGAGCCTTACCAACGATGACCTTCAAGAACTGAGAGAACAAGAAATTTGTGTAGAACAGGAAAACAGAGTTTTCTGAAAACAAAGAATCCAAAGAACTTGTACAGGTTTCCTCAGTAAAAGTTTGGTAAGATAACCAAAATTATTGATCAAATTGTAGCAAATAATCCCAGATTTTGAAAGGAGTGCAAAAGCAAGACGAGCATTTTGGATGCTATCTTCTGCTACCGACATTTGCTTAAAGAAAGAAAATGGTGACAAATGAAACTAGAGGACTTTATCGCAAAAAATAAGAATTTCAGAAAAACCAGGATTTTCCTTACAAAAAATGAACTTTACATTTTTGTGTGCCTATGTTTGTGTTATTTAACATATATTATTATGCAAATAAATATAAAAATAACTTAAAATTAAAGTAAATTTTTTTACTTTTGGTCACGTGTTTCCGTATCCCTATTTACTCTATGTTAAAATGACCTCGTTTAGTGTTGTTTTGCTTAGCGCTTTGTTGTCTAGGAACTAGGAAGCAGGGTCTTACTGTAATTCCTTTTTGGGAAAACTTTTTTATTTATTTTAAATGTTGTGTTGAAACTATATATTAATATAGCATGTTTCATTATTCATTTTTATACTATTATTAAAGTGCAGTAGAGTGTCGTATATCCAAAAACCAGTTATCCGAAACGTCTGTTAACTGAAAGCATTCCAGTCGGCAAATTAAAATTTTTGTTATTGCTATGGCGCTGCAATCTTTGGCTATATCTTGAGCTACTCCAATATTTTTTTTTTGTTGGTGTGTGTGTTTTAGCTGGCAGCACTGGCACTTTTGTGTGGTGTTTTTCTGAGGACTGTGTGTCGTGCTGAATCGAACATTTTTGATACTAGATCAACTTCTAAAGTAAAATTTTTTTTTGCTTTTATATTTTTCAATATATTAATTTTGTTTGTAAAAAATAAAGAAATAATTTTTAACGATACAATAGCCATGATTATTATTTNATTCAAAAAACAAAATGTAATTTTTACCCTCAACTCCCAACACAGCAAAATAAATGAATCCTTTTTATATATAATTAAGATTTGTCAGAGATTAGTTTAAGAAAATTAACCAAACAGTTATTTGTAGATGATACAAGTAGTAACTATTACTGTAAGTTTGCAATAAAATAGCCTTCAGACAATTAAAGATGACTATCAGAATTTCTAATTTTTTCTTAGTCCTGTTAAATATAAAACCATTTTGATACATAATTTTAAAGTATGTAGTTAACTTAAAATAAAATAATATTTACTTATTTCATTTTTATTTTAAAAAAATTTGATATATGAAATGAATGTAAAGTGGTAATGTGATGCTAATGGCAAACCTAAGTTTGCTTAGATAATGTGTAATTTATTAAAATCAGTTTAGGCAATGTTAAAAGAATATTTAGTATTTTTCATATTGTACAATTAAACACTGCTAAAAACTGGAAAATAATATAACAAATTGCTGAACCTTCTATACTTATTCCAGCAGGTGCATTTATTGCAAAAATGAAGTTCTCTATCACTTTCATAGACTTTCGTCATGTTGTTATATGTTTCCATAAATGAAGTGCAATTAATCAAAAAAATTTTTAAATGGAATGTTATACATGAAATATGATGATATACAAATTCAAACATAATATAATAATTACAAAGTTTATAAAAAATTAGCAGTAATAATAAACTGTAACATACATAATGATGAAATATAACAATATAATATAAAAATTATAAACTATGTACTGTACATAACTTTTGCAATACAACTGGAAATAGGCTAAAAAATTAAATGTTGTAACATAATTGCATATAAACAAAACCTGTCAGTCTTTTGATTGATAATGAATGAAAAAGACTCTACAGACAACAGATGGGCCCTGAGTGTATATAAAATTTCATTATTAGATACTGGCTTGACCAATGCCTAGACTACATTGGCTCAACTAATACATCATTAATAATCAGAATATGCCATGGCCCAATTTGCAGGTGAGCTCAGGATATTCCAATGTAGAGAGGATGCTAAGCTTCTAAACATTACGTTCAATATTTAAAAGCTAAGAATAACATAAGTCAGCAAAATTTAAAAAACAATACTTTGGGGAAGTTGCATTAATAGTAAAGAAAACATTAACTTATCACAAGTGTGGCAAGCAATGATAAGTTATTTCTAACTGTAGGCAAACTAGCACAATGTTGTAAATATTGTCACCACAGTTTCTAGTTATTAATGTGTATGTTACACCATTTAATTTTTCTAGTCTATCTGCAGTTTTAGAGAAAGTTGTATACATAATTTATGATTTTTTATTATGCTATATTTTGTCATTACATATGTTACATTTTATTATTACTGTTAATTTTTTTACACACTTTGTAATTTTTATTGTACAGTATAATCTCCGAACAGCAGACACCATCGGGAGTGTGAAGTTTGTCTGCTATTTGGAAGTACATGCTGGTGGCTATACTGTATTTTAATCTGGTCATCATATAATGAAGAATATAATGGATTTAAAAAAAACATCAAATTTACATTAAGAATGAGAATATACCAAAAGTATACATAGCATATATAATTAAAATATATATACAATATGTTATTTTTTTAGCTGTAAAAATTTTGTTTTAATTGAATCACATTTGAATGTCAAGTTANTGTAAATATTGTCACCACAGTTTCTAGTTATTAATGTGTATGTTACACCATTTAATTTTTCTAGTCTATCTGCAGTTTTAGAGAAAGTTGTATACATAATTTATGATTTTTTATTATGCTATATTTTGTCATTACATATGTTACATTTTATTATTACTGTTAATTTTTTTACACACTTTGTAATTTTTATTGTACAGTATAATCTCCGAACAGCAGACACCATCGGGAGTGTGAAGTTTGTCTGCTATTTGGAAGTACATGCTGGTGGCTATACTGTATTTTAATCTGGTCATCATATAATGAAGAATATAATGGATTTAAAAAAAACATCAAATTTACATTAAGAATGAGAATATACCAAAAGTATACATAGCATATATAATTAAAATATATATACAATATGTTATTTTTTTAGCTGTAAAAATTTTGTTTTAATTGAATCACATTTGAATGTCAAGTTACAAAGGTGATTTGAAGGGATCCTCTTCAAGAGGAGGGAAATATACTCAGAATTGTTACATTTATAATGTTATTTATGATCTAAGTGACTAATAAAAATCAATACAGAGATTTGTCTGCTTTGTAGTTATCAAGTAGGTTTAACTTTGCAAACATTTTTGCTTTTTTCAGTAGGCTAACTGAGTTATTAAAAATTACACTTTTAGCCACCACAAAACTATTAAAATGATTACAACAACAGCATTTATTTGGTGAAAGTTCATAGGTCATCTTACAAAGGCAATTTGCCGACCAATTTAAAGTGTGGTAAGATGTTTGGTTTTCTCACATTTATGATGTAATTTATGATCTTAAGTTTCTTTTTCATTACTGCTTTACTATGGTTCTTGTCGAATGAATAATTTTGGAAAAGTTTATAGTTTATTTGTATCATAAGCTTAATTCTAAAAATATGATAGATTATACAACATTAATATGTATAACAATAAATGGTGATTGACAACTTAACCAGATTAAACTTTTCTAACAGATAAAGAATATCGTTCAACTTTTTATAACCTGCCCTGTTCCTCTATTATTATTATTTTAAGCCAGTCTTTATTTGACACCTATGGTCAAAATTTGTCATCTGAAAGAGTATTTGGACTGATACGTTGTTTTTGTTTTAACATATTTCCTATGTGATTAATTCTTTCAGAATATTGTAGGCAGGATATGTTATTTTTGTAAGATTGGTTATGGATGACAGCATCCAATATTTAGAGTGTCTGCTATTTAGAGGTAAAAATGTATGTTATGTAGAGGTGTTTGCTATTCAGGAGTGTCCATTAATAGAAGTTTCACTATATTAATTTATTTTGAGATTGATGAAAAAACAACTGAAAATGATAGCATATAAAGAAATTTTACTGTATTTTAATGGTTTTAGTGTTGGTAATATTACAAATGTAGTTCCTATAGAAGTAAACGATATATTTTCATGATTAATACCATTTTTCTTAAAATACAGTAATATATTTCAAAGAAATAAACATTATAAATTATAATAACAACTTTTAATGTGAAATAATTATGATATTTCAATAAACATTTGTGAAAAATATTATTAAAGTATAACTTTTTAAAGAAGGGTAGGGCAACTGAAGGTGCAAGTGTGACACGATTTTTAATTTTTTGAGCTTATATTCGAACATTTGTTTGAATTTTTATTCCGAAAGCTTTTACAAAGATCCATCAGGTAATCATTACAAAACCTGATGAAGAACTTGAGTGGAGTTTGAAAATGTTTGATTTTTGTTTTTGTTTTGTTTATGTGCACACTGTAATCGGTTCAGAGTATGTGAATAACTTTTTAAAACTATTGAAATTCAAATATATAAACATAAATTCAAAAAGCTGATTTAGTGGTGTGAAATAAGTTAATATAGAACATTTTTCTAATTAGCCTAAAAATATTCAAACCTTTATACAAGGTACTTCAAAAAAATGTTAACATTTATTGGAGAAGGTGGCAGTCATTGTGGCAAGAGTAATAGAGAGGTACTTTTTTTGAGAACTCCACAACTATGTTGTGACTTCTTGTACGTAATGAAAAATTAGGCAAAGGAAATAAGGCATAAGAAATTATAATATTAGTGTTAACATCTTTTAGATACACCCTATATAAGTAATTTTATTCCAAGTGAAAAAGTTTTTGAATTTATTTATGTTTGGTGTTCTAGTTAAAGTTATAAAGTCATTTGGAGTCATATCTACACATCATCGACTTTATACAGCTATAATCAAAAATTGCTAATTATAAAAACAAAATAAATGTAAATTGTTGCATGATTTTATAACAATTTATTAAAAAATTAAAGATATATTAGATATTAAAAATTTTACTTTTCCAAGCATAGTTCCATTGCTCCGAATTCGCTTAGTAAGTTCTCTAGTATCAATACCTTCAAAATAAAATTTTAAAATGTAAATCTTATTTTTAAAGTGGGCAAATCAAATGCATTTCTACCCTGTTACCTTGAATTCCAGGAACATTATGCTCTTTCATCCATTCCGATAAAGATCTTGTTGATAACCAGTGACTACAATAATCGCTTAATTCACCTACAATAAGAGCTTCAATCCAGATTCTCTTAGATTCAAACCATTTGGGAATTCCATATTCATCTTCTTCATCTGATGCTATTCCATAATTTCCAATTAAAGGATATGTTAACACCAAAATCTGACAATAATAAGACGGATCTGTTAAGGATTCGGGATAACCAACCATTCCAGTCTGAAATACTGAAAAAAAAAAAAAGTAATTTTTTAAGGAATTAGATAATNGGTGAAAACGTACTTGGAAACGCTTAAATGGGAAGTCCTACCCCACCCGCCGTATTCGGCAGACATCGCCCCTTCGGATTATCACTTGTTCCGATCGATGGCACATGGCCTGGCTGAGCAGCACTTCCATTCTTATGAAGATGCCAAAAAATGGGTAGATTCTTGGATAGCCTCAAAAGATGTGTCGTTTTTCCAACGTGGAATTCAAATGCTGCCAGAACGATGGGAGAAAGTAGTGGCTAGCGATGGACAATACTTTCAGTGACGTGTTTATTACAACTTTTTTAAAATAAAGTGTTAATTTTCATGAAAAAACAGCGAGAACTTATTCAAGGTCCAAATATAAAGTAATTTTCCAGTCTTGTGAGCATAGAGAGGGATTTTCATGTAAAGCTGTTTAGTTAATGCGTAATACAAAGTGCAGTTATGGTCCCCAGAATATGAGAGTCTTGCTGTTCAGGTTTGTTAATACAAAGGTAATACATACCATAACTTTTAAGATGTCATGAGTCTGAAGTGGACATTGACTTTGATGTCAAGTTCAGTCTTTGTTTAGTCATGGCACTTATTGTGTGCAGCCCATGCATGTTAGTCTTAAATGCTTTTTCACTTTGGGAAAAGACTAAGCAGGAGTGCTGGTTTTTACAAATGATTTGGAAATGGTAAAATGAGAGTACACAGACTTATCACTAGAGATGAAACTTAAAATCGTGGAAGAAATCAAGAAGGTAGGAAAGCTGAAAGTAACAAAAGCAAACAAGTTTAGTGTGCCACAAAATACTATTTCGATGATTTATAACATTTAGAAGATAGTACAAAGAAAAGAAAATGCATTGGAAGAGCAAAATTTAAGAGTTTAGAAGATGGCCTTCTGGAGTGGTTCTGGCATATGTTTGTATTGAACATGCCCTTATCTGGACAATGATGAAAGAAAAGACTGATGTTATTAGACTTAGGCTGTGTGTAGATAGGTTCAATTGCCATAGGTTCGCCACCTCTACTTTAAGTCATTAGCAAACATAACTAGAATATCAGTATTATTATACAATCTGATATAATTAGAATATCATTCAATAAAACATTTTCTTTTTCTATCCACAGGTGTCAAATTTATGTGGGAGGGCACAATAGAATCATTAAAACAATTGAATTCTACTCCAGGATCTGGATGCATTTTGGCACATTGTATGGGTTTGGGTAAAACATTACAGGTTATTGTTTTTACTCATACATTATTGACAAATGAATTTACTAAAAAAGTTATTAGAACTTGTTTGGTCATATGTCCATATAATACCATACTAAATTGGGCTCAAGAATATGAAACATGGTTGGATGAAGATGAACTCAAACTAAGTGTAAGTTTTTTATTAATGAATATCTTTAAAATCTCTATTCTTTTCTAAGTTTATGAAGTTAATGAATTATCAAATATTCTTTGGATATTTATTATTTTCTTTAACATTGGTATTTTACATGAGGTCAGTCTGAATATGATTATGCTTACACAAAGGTGCATATGTACACAATGACACCAGCATCTTCTGTAAGTTTATGTATATTTAAATAATGTTAAAATAAAGTTTCTAATGAGTGTCCTTTTCTTTTATTTATATCATTTCCAGAGAGTGGGTCTGATTTTGCATGGGACATCCTGTATAATAATATAAAATTTGTATTTGTAAATAATATAAAAATAATATAAAAAATTTGTNATCATTAAAAATTAGTTTTTTGTTTTGTACAAACAAAATAAATATATTTAAAAATATAAAAACAATAAAAAATTATACTTCAGATGTTAATTTAGTATCAAAAACGTAAAATGTTTGAGTAGCCCAAGACATAGCCAAAGATTGAAGCTCCACAGCACTGGCGAATATTTAAATTTGCCGACTGGAAATCTTTCGGATGATTGACTTTCGGAAAATCGACGCTCTACTGTATATAATTGCTCATTGCTTCAGTTGGAATTTTAAACCTTATTATTGGACTTTCAATTTTCAAGAATCAATTAATTACTTAACAGATATTTCAAAGTTAAAAAACATAAATAATGTTCCTTGGTAAATGCAATAGTCTGAAAAATGTAACACAGAATTTAAATGTAAAAATTAAAATTGTCGGAAAAATTTATGCATTGTTAAAATTTTCTTATTTGATGTAACTGTGATCGTTATTTAGATCATTTGTAGAAACCTTTGGATATAGTCATGTGATGTTATGTGAAATCAAAAGCACACGAGGAAAACAAAGGAGAGAATGGACTGACAGCATACAGCGCTCTTAGCTAAAATGTCACTGTGGAGTAGCGACATTTTAAAAATGGCAGAGAGCCCTGTGGAGCTCCGGAAGTGGGTCGAAAATTCATGCACAAAAATTTTTTTAAATTTTGTGTAGAAAACAATTCAATAATAATAATAATTATAATAATAATTTAACGTTGTAAAAAGAAACCGTCAAATAAGAAAATGAAAGGGAAAACAAAAAATGAATATTTCATGTCCATAAAAGGACATGTCTGTAGAAATTTCTAAGAAAGATGAACTTCACAAGTTAAAACAATAGATGAATGTAAGTCCTAAGATTGAACATCTTCGATAGGGATTGAATTGTCAGTCTGTCTGGGTTCTGATCTTGTTATGTTTCATAACAAGTGAAAACCAATCGGAAAGGGGGGGTAAGTCAACATGGACCTATCGGAATGTTCGATCTGGGTCCCAAAAAGAACTTATAAAAATCTCGCAAAATCAAGGACATGACGCTCTTGGTTCTCTGTTTTTGGTTCATAGTCCTCCCTTAGACATGGGTGCTTCTATAGAAACAGGAAAGAAATTTTTGAATATCATGAAAACAAATCTCCTTTGGTGCGTTGCCCTGTGCACCAAGTCTATAGGACCAGAATGGTCTGAAGTTGTGCCGAGTGTCCCAGGACCTACGATTGCTTTGCTGTCTCTGCAGAAAGGAAGGAAAAGAAAACTTGAACATTCAAATTGTAATTTTTTTCGTCCAATGGTTCTTTTTATATTTAATATTTTAAAGACAAAGTTCACCCGAAAAATTTGAACTTTATTCGGACTTAATCCTTGCTTTCTGTACAGTGATACTCCATTGTTCAAGGAAATTTTGTAAGAAATTCTTATTTTTATTAAATGGTGTAATGGTGAGGAACCTGTCTGTGAGAATTTTTTCCACTCCCACATAATAGTCATGACTACATGATGATCCTGACTAATGCAATCAGTCAGCAAACCTCACATTCTAATCTATATACCATAGGTGGTCAAGAGAGAGAGAGTGTGTTTACATGATAATTCGCATGAAGATAAATACCTGATGGATTATTCTTTCAAAACGTTCCAACAACAAAAGTTGTCTTCAGTAGTAGAATTATGCGGACAGGCTGATGATAGAATCAGTTTGGAGAGTAGGTAATATCCTCGTCATGGAATAAGTGATATTCATTACTAGAGTAGATGAGGTTTGCTTATATGATGTAAATAATATTGGTAAGTGGAGAAAGAGATGTGGGTGATACTAACTAACTAACCCGTTTGAGGCACAGGCTCCGACTGACTCATTCGGCCATCAGTTTTGATATTAAAAGCGATAATGCACGGCTGGTAGGTCGACAGATCACAGAAAAACATCACTTTTGCTGCCAAGAATATGCAAACTGAGAAGTTCTTGGGTAGTAAAGGATAATCAACAATGTTAGTTGTCAAAATAGGTATGATGAAATTGAAAAAAGTTTTCGTTAAAGTCTGGGTTCTCACATTTTTATCAAACCTGATTTTTATTTGGAAAACACTGTTGCATAAAATGGATAACATATTTTATTTAGCTGTTCATAAAGTAACATTGGATCACAAATTTTAACAAAATTCAAATGTACAAGATACACATTTTGTTCAAAATTAGTGACTGTTCGCTGTTTGTTCCAGATTAGTCTTGCCAGGAGCTTTAATTCTACTTGGAAAATAAAATACAATAAAGTTTAGTGAGGAGGAAAGGAAGAGCATCTTAAAATGGACACTTCTTTCCTTAAATTTAATTAATACACTGTACCATATGACAATCAGTCTCCCTGATAAATGTGCATTGAAATATATTACATGTGTTATTTTAGTAGTTTTCAGTGATTTTTTTTGTTTTATAACAATATTTTTAGCAGGTTTTACAGGTATATAGTTTTATCACATTTTAGTAATATTTTAAAGTTATTTTATAATTTAATTTATATTTTTTATTTTATTTTAATTTTACTTGTTTTATTCTTATTTTTTAAGTAAATTTTTGTTACTTCAGCTGTTTTCAATAAATATATCATTTTAGGTAATTAGTTTTTAGTGAGCTTTATGTGTGTGTAAGATAATAAATAGTTGTTAATTACCATAATTTATTTTAGTTTTATCAGATAGATATAATAAGGACTGGCGATGGAAAAATAGCCCAAAATACACATTCTTTTTACATGATAAACTTTATGTAATTGACTGTTTTGCTGTATAATAAGTAGTGTTGTAACAAATAGTATATTTGGTCTCAGGCTGAATACCGAATATTCTGCCAGGAGCGTGGCCGAATAGCCGAATATTCGGCCAAACTATTCAGCTTGATTAATGCCCGTACGAAAATTGGTGCACAAACTGCATTATGGCAAGGATTCTGCTCTCTATTGGCCCGCTGTCACTACACTTCGCCAATCGCGTTCATTTTTGGCAGTTGTAGCAGACAGACAAGAGTGTCATGGAAGTATGTGATAAGTGATGATATCAAATGTGGATAACAATGAAATGACCTACATGTGTAAATAATGGAAAAAGAACAGAGAAGGACCGCGAAGTGAAAATGTGAAAATACATATGAAATTGAATCAATAACATAATCGAACAAGTCAAGGCAGCATATTGGCACGGAATTCGCGGCCGTCAATGTCAAACAATTGTTGTCATAGACTTCGGAAAGCTAAATGCTTGTAATGAAAGTCACTTAGCGTGCATGGGTGAAAGCCTGGGGCCGTTCGGGCTATCAAGCTGTCTCGAATCTGTCAAATCATAACTGTGACTTATATCGACGTCCTATCTTCTCTTTTCTCCGTTATCACCAGGCTGAGTCACGTAATTGTAAAATGGAAACTCTACGACGGAAAAGTGAGGAATCGAAAGTATCGTGAGCGCGTATTATGACGTATACACAGGCATACATGGGTTAGAGTGATAGAGGAAAGAGAAAGGGAAGAGCAAAGACGAGCGCTTAAAAAGAAGGATAGGCAGGGTCAGACCCTTAGATGTGCGAGGATTCTCCAACGATAGACATGTACGTGTGCTGATCTTTGTAATTATAAATTGTGAATACATGTGACTAATATTATTTTCTGTTTTATTTTGTGCATGTTACAAGTTATAAATAAATATAAACAAACAACACTAACTCGATAACATTAAATCTAAATACCAAAATGATTAATTTACTGTGTTTTTGTTATTTATTACTCCTGATTTTAGGTATTCGGTATTCGGCCGAATAGTGATTAAATATTTGGTATTTGGCCGAATAGTGAAAAATAGGCCAAATACCGAATAGTAACCGAATATTCGTTACATCACTAATAATAAGTTCCTTATAGTAATTCTGTCTTACTTCCAAAGACCAAAATTAAAATTGTTTAAATAAAAATATTTTCAAAAGCTTTGAAAAATTTGTTCTTCATACAGTCAAATTTTGCATAATCAAACTAGATCAAATAGTTCAGAGGGTTTCCTAGAAACAAGATCATAAAATATTAAGTTTATAATAAAAAAAGATTATCAGATAGATTTCTTAAAGACATTAAATGAAAGTTTTAGTTTAATATCTTTATGTAAGAGTTTCACCATTAAATATTTCATAAATTGTAAAGATTATCATATGCTCTACTATTAGGCTTAAGCCTCTGCTAGTTGTTTACACGTGAAGACAGAACTTACTTAAGTTTTATATTAACAAAATATGTGAAAATTAAAATAGTTGAAAATAGTTGAAAATTAAATTATAATTTCACACTATAATTTAATTTTCAACTATTTTCAACTATTTTGACTGTATATTGACTGTACTTGAGTATTATATTAATGTCATTTTATTCCACTATGTGTGACCCGTCACTAACAATATGTTTAGAGCTATCTTTTTACTTCTCTTTTATAAAAATGGTAAATTTGCACATATTCCAAAGAAATTCATCTTAATTATACTTGAAAAATGAAATACTTTATATTGTTTTAACTTCATAATAAAAAATGATTTTATAATCTGAATATAGCAGAAAAATAAGTTGTTTCAAATTTGAAGATAAAAAAAAGAAAATATCACATTC